TTAAATGTGCAGATAACATAACACAAACTATAATATGATTATACACCAAAACAAACCCAGGGCCCAAGGGGAGGGTTTCAACGTTCACCTGCCTCATGTGCTTAGGCCTGCCTAATTTTAATTAAGCAAGTTGAGCATAGAATCATATAAACTAAATAAATATTTTTGTTGTTGATTAAAAAAATATGGGGTTTAATCAGTGAGATAACATAACATAATAGGTTCCAATCCACAGTTTCATATAGTTTGAGTTAAACCTCCTCAGTCCTCCCTAATCTAAAGTTGGAATCATGTTATAGCCTATAAATATAACAATGTCTACTCTTTTGATTGGTGAGCAACATATGTTATAATAATCAGCAGGTTGTTGGTGTTGGTGTTGTTGAAGTTGAAGAAGGAAGAAGATTGATTGTTCAGATTGGTGGTGTTGATTGGTCAGCAATGGCACAAAATCCAGAAAGGAAAGCAGTCATTAAAGCCACCTGCTTCCAGTTTCGGGTTCCAGCACCAATGGCTGCCCCTGCAACCCCACCTGCAACCAGAGCATTCACCTGTTCCAACTTACAATAAATCAACAACCCACATATCATGCAATTTGCAAACAAGATAGGAATGAGAGTGTGGTAAGGTTATTAATTACCCAATCGTTTTTCTTGCGGTATCTTCGAATCCCACACCGTGTAAATGAAAATATTCCAGCAAACAGTCCTAATAACGGACCACAATTACTCATAAACTTAGCACAATCATCATTAAACAACTTGTAGACTTTAATTTTTTCTTTAAAAATATGAGATTACCACATTGGAACCCGTATTTACCAACCGTCTTGGCCTGCAAGTGAACATCAGATACCAAACTATTAAATACAACAAACTTAGTTAACCCATTTCTGCTTCTTTAATCACAATAAGCTGCTGCAGTATTGGTTACACCATATGCCTGCCTGCATTTCTCCCTCATGTCATTTTTTCAACTCTTCAAATCGAAATCCAGAGGTCAAATGCTCTACTAAAATAAGAAAGAATGAGGGAAGAAACCTACCACGAAAGAAGCGCGGGGAATGCCAGTCAGACCTAAATCATGTTCACACAACAAACAATTCAGAAACTGATTTTTTTTTTTTTACTAATTAGATAGCTTCACTCTCTTTTAACAACAAATCCTCAATCGATGGGTCAATTTAGCATCAAAACATATCAAATGTTTGTATATATGATTGAGTAAAAAATCAAGGTGCAACTGATAACGCAAATCAATAGCTGCAAATAGCTCATAAGGTAGGTTTACCTATTTGTTTCGCATCGTAGGAACCAGCACATGAACCCCAGATTAATCCGCCCTACCATTTTAAGATTTTGATTTTATTTCTAAGTGTTACAACTCTTAACGTGGTATATCACTTAAAAACGCGTTTTGAGAGAACTTACAGTTCCGACGCTAATGATGGACTCGACGGCGATCGAAGAGCAGGGAACGTCTTTGGACCACTCTGTGTCCATCTTCTCCTTCTTTTCTCTCTCCTTCGGAGGATACCGCTTTTGGGCCCAAGTTTTCACACGGTAGAATGTCGCTTTGGAAAATTTCAATTGAAACCCTCCTATTATTGCCTAATTGTATTTCGTTCACGTTCTTCAACTTTATGAGGTGTTTGGGTTTGTCTAAATTATCTTTCTCAAGAATCAATAATAGATGGGTGTTTTGGATTTCTTTTTTAAATGATTTATTGATTTAGTAGCTTCTTAGGTTATAAAAAAATGTTTGTCACTTACGAAAAGACAATAAGAAAAAAAAAATACTCATTTTTGTCGCCTTTAAAACCATCTACAACTCAATTATATTATTTTAAATTGACGTCTAAAAATAATACAAATACTATTTTGTTGGGCTTTTAATATTAAAGTGTTTAAGTTTTTTAAATTTTGTTGGTTTTGTGATTTTTTTTCTATTAATGCCCAAAGTTTGGCATGTTTCTTTTTCTTTCCTTTTTTGTCTTTGTTACAAATTTTTAATGTTTTTATCCTAAGTATGTTTTATAAATTTGCAAAAAAAAAAAAAAAACTCTTAAATTTACTAATCTTTTATGTTTATAACATAAATATGTTTTTCAAATTTAACATAAAAGTCTTTGAGTTTGTCAAATTTTGTTGGTTTTGCCCCGGTAGGTAACAAAGGCAAAAATGAAAAAAAATGACATTAACCCATGTAATCATTATATCATTATACCAAGGATTACATCAACCTCCTCAACTACCTTCATATAAAATTTAGATGCCAACAACTTCTTAGTTTCATTTTGATTTTAGTTGGTAACAAAAATCAACATGTCATCTACGCATAAACAAATAATAACACTCGAACCAATAACATCAAATATACTATAAACATATTTGTCACGTTGGTTTAAAGCAAAAACACCTGAAAATATAACTTCATCAAACTTTCAATGACATTTCATAGGTGATTGTTTCGGTCTATACACAGATTTTACAAGTTTACATACATTATGTCAGCACCCAACGTAACAAAACATTCATGTTGTTTTATGTAAACTTTTGCATCAATATCACCATTTAAATTTTTTGTTTTAACATCAATTTGATGAATAATCAGATTATAAATAGCCTCCAAGCCAAGCAACAATCTAATTGCTGGAATTCGAGCTACTAGATCATATGTATAAAATACTCAATTTCGGGTTATTGCATAAATCCTTGAATGACCAAGCGACATTTAAACTTATCAATTGACCTGTTAAATTTCATTTTCTTTTTAAAACTCCATTTACAACCAAATGGTATAAAACCCGAAGTCAAATCTGATAACACCCAAGTGTTATTCTCAAGAATTGATTAAATTTCATCATCAATTGCTTCTTTCCAAGAAGCAACATCTCGAGACTCCATAGCCTCTATAAAGGTCTTTGGGTCATTCAATAATATAATAATATGAATAATGAAGTCCAAGTTCATCTCTTGAACCTTCTACTAAAGACATTTGGTAGTCGAAATCGAATACTTTGGCAATTCGGTCATGTTTGCTTTTCCAAATCTGTTGCAGTTCTAAGGAAGTTGTATGGTGGAAATCACAGAAGTCATTTAAGTTCTAAAATAATCTATTTTCTAATAATAATAAAAAATGTTGTTTTGTAACTTTTGTTAACATAAAAGTCTTGTATTTTTCTATATTGATATCAAAAGTTGCAATTAATCCATCTTTTTATATTTTTTTGTTTTATTCAAAAACTAACATGGCCTAATTTTGCATATGAAAGTATAAAATCATCAATTTTAGAAGAAGACGATGACTTAAAAACAAAATTATCTACCGAAGCAATTTTTTGACAACATTTAAAAGAAGCATTATATTATAATAATAACCGAACCCGGTAAATTAAACTACCACTTCGAGATAGGATATACCTTCATAAACTTGTTTGTAACCATCACTAATCAAACATCCACCACTTACAATATTCTTCCTAATTTTAGGTACATACAATCTATATATCTATCTATATTTACACTAATTAATCATGGCGAGGGTTCTCAGCACGGACTAGCTCTCTGTTCAGCCGTGAGGGCCAAGAGATATCTTCAGCAAGGTTGTTCTGGATTTTTCGCCTATGTGGCGGATACTCGAGCTGGGGGCACGGTGACTATGAGTGATGTGCCCATCATTTGGGATTTTCTCGATGTGTTTCTTGAGGATTTACCTGGAGTGCCTCCTGAGAGGCAGGTTGAGTTCTGGATTTATTTGGTTCCCAGTGCGGCTCTGATAGACAAAGCACCATATCGATTAGCACCGCCAGAGATGCAAGAGTTGTCTACGCAGCTCCAGGAGCTGTTAGACAAGGGGTTTATTAGACCGAGTAGTTCACCATGGGGAGCACCGATCCTGTTCGTGAAAAAGAAGGTCGGCTCATATAGGATGTGCATTGACTACCGATAGTTGAATAAGCTAATAGCAAAGAACTGTTACCCACTCCCGATGATTGATGACTTATTTGACCAGCTTTAGGGTGTATCTTGGTTCTCCAATGATTTACCGCACGGTTATCATCAGATGAGGTTCATAGAGGAGGATGTGTAGAAAACGGCCTTCAGAATTCGTTATGGTCATTACAAGCTCGTGGTGATGTCATTCAGGCTCACCAATGCACTAGCAGCGTTCATGGATCTCATGAATCGAGTATGCATATCCATGTTGGATCGAACGGTAATTGTGTTTATCGATGATATTATGGTCTACTCCAAGACCAAAGAGCAGCATGAGAAGTAGTTACGCGAGGTTTTGGAGACCCTAAGGAGGGAGAGGTTGTAAGCCAAATTCTCCAAATGTGAATTATGGTTACACGAGGTGCAATTATTGGGGCACATCATCAACTAGAATGGTATTTTGGTCAATTCGGCCAATATTGAGGTGGTGATGAGGTGGGAGGTCCTGAGGACACCATCTGAGATTTGGAGTTTTCTTGGTCTGATAGGTTATTATCGGAGGTTTATCCAGGATTTCTCCAAGATCGATGTACCATTGACCCGTTTGACGAAGACGAATGTCACTTTCCGATGGGCGCCTGATCAGCAGGCAGCCTTTGAGACACTGAGGCAGAGATTATGTGAGGCCCAGATTCTCACTTTTCCCAAGGGTGTGGATGATTTTTTGGTTTATAATGATGCGTTTATCTCAGGATTGGGACTATACTCATGCAGAGAGGTCACGTGATTGCTTACGCTTCGAAGCAGCTAAAGCCTCATGAGGTGAATTACCCTACACACGATTTAGAGTTGGGGGTTGTGGTTTTCTCCCTCAAGATATGGAGACATTAATTGTATGGGGTTAGGTGCACTATTTACACTAACCACAAGAGCCTGAGATATCTGATGGACCAACCGAATTTGAATATGAGGGAGCGAAGGCGGTTAGATGTGGTGAAAGATTATGACTGTGAGATTTTGTATCACCCTGGGAAGGACAATGTTGTGGCCGATTCCTTGAGCTTCAAGGCAGTGAGTGCACCTATTAGAGATATATATTTAAGGATGGTTGTTGTCTTGTAACTATTGGAATTGATCAAGAAGGCGCAAGTGGAGGGGTTGAAAAGGGGAAATTGGAAGGATGAGAGGATTAGGGGTCAGATTCCATTGTTTATCCGGGATAGTCACAGGTTATTGACTCAGTGTGGTAGGGTTTGGGTTCTAGTTGTTGACGGATTTAGACAGGCATCATTGGAAGAGGCTCATAAGTCAAAGTTTTCAATACATACGGGTGCCACGAAGATGTATAGAGACTTGAGATTGGATTACTGGTAGCCATGTATGAAGAGGGAGGTAGCATGGTTTATGGAGCGGTGCTTGACTTTTCGGAAGGTCAAGGCCAAACATCAGAGAACCCACGAAAAAATACAGCACTTACTTATTCCCATGTGGAATTGGGAAGAGATCATCATGGATTTTATCACAAAGTTGTCAAGGACGACACGTGGGGTTGATTCTATTTGGGTCATCATGGATAGAATAACCAATGGTGCTTATTTCATACATGTTGCCGAGAGCATTTCCGCCGTGAAATTGGCTGACAACTATATTCGGGAGGTGGTGGTTCGGCACGGGGTTCTAGTTTTGATAGTTTCGAATCGAGATGTTCGCTTCACCTCCAGGTTTAGGAGGAAATTTCATGAGGATTTAGGTACTCATCTACATTTCAGTACAACATACCACCCCCAGATCGATGGACAAAGTGTTCGGACGATTCAGACACTCGAAGATATGCTCAGGGCGTGTGTGCTAGATTTTAGCTGGAGTTGGGATACATATCTTCCACTGGCCGAGTTCTCCTACAACAATAGCTACCATTCCAGTATCGATCGACCACCAATCGATATGCTTTATGTGAGGAAATGTCGGAACCTAGTTGGTTGGGGAGAGGTCAGGCATCGAGTTATGATGAGTACCGAGGTAGTACTCAAGACTACCGAGTTGATACAACAGGTGCACGGTTGGCTGCAAACTGCACAGAGTCGCCAGAAGAGTTATGCTGACCGGACACGATCAAACCTCGAGTTCCAGGTGGGGGATTTTGTCCTTCTGAAGGTGTCACCTTGGAAATGTGTCATCCAATTTCAGAAGCGGGGAAAATTAGGCCCGCGATATATTGGACCCTTCAGGATTATCGCTCAGGTGTGCAAGGTTGCATACTGGCTGGATCTGCCTAATGAGCTCAGTCAGATCCACAACACTTTCCATGTCTCTTAGTTACGGAAGTGTTTAGACGATGACTCCGCGGTGGTCCCCTTGGATGACGTTTAGGTGGATGAGCGCCTGAACTATGTGGAAATATCGATAGTGGTCCTTGATAGGAAGACGAAGACCTTACGCAACAAGGTGGTTGGCTTAGTAAGGTGCAATGGCAGCATCAGAAGGGCTCAGAGTGGACGTGGGAGCCTGAGGTGGAGATGAGAGAGCATTAACCCGAGTTGTTTGTAGCGGCGGACTTCGAGGACGAAGTCTGATTCAAGTGGGGGAGAGTTGTAACACCCGTTTCTTAGGTACTTTTCATTTTTGGCTTAAAGTATTTAATTCTTGAAAAAATGGTC